TCTTTAGAAGCACTTAGTACTTCTTTGATTATAGTTACCACTACATTTTTTAGTTCCAAAATTATTTCTGATCTGATTTTCTTCTATACCTTTCTGCAGTTGATTCTTTACTGTCAACGCTATTATTTCAGAGCTATCTGGTGTGTGATTTCCGGTTTCCTCAGTGCTAGTGTCTTCTGCATTTGTACTGGGTGGACTCGGAGCCTGAGACTGCATTTTGTTCCTTCTCTTTGTCATTTTGTATACCACTGTCTCCTGACCTTTGGTGTAGAGCTTAGATAGAGTTATTACCTTAGCACCAGGTCTGGATCTATGAAGTTCGGATTCCTCCAGGTGGGTGTGGCTTGGATCTGGTTGCTGTGCTCCACTTCTTTCTGCTGCAGCCATTAGAGGTGAACCCTTTGTGTCTCTCTGGCAAGATGTTCTGCTCCTGAATCAGTTGGGTGGGTCTTGCCTCTAGCCTCTTTGCAGGGAGTTCTGCTGAAGGGTTCCCTGCTGGGCCGGCAGCCTGGGTCGAATGAGGATCTGTGGGCCCCAGGTCATCTCACTCACTCCCCGGGCCTGCCCTCTGGGTCTATTCAGGATCCCGCAGCCCTGGTCATCTCACTCACTCGCCGGGCCTGCGCTCTGGGTCGGTCTTTCTTTCTTTCTTTCTTTCTTTCTTTCTTTCTTTCTTTCTTTCTTTCTTTCTTTCGTATTTGGTGCAGTTTCACTATGCAGCTTGGACTCAGAGTAATGCTCCTGTTTTCAGTCTCCCCAGTGCTGGGATTATAGGCGTGCACCACCATGCCCAGTGTCCAGGGCCAGTGTGGCATGGGGTGCTAGGGCTCAAGCCCTGGTCCTTGTGCTTGCCTAAGCAGACGCTTAGTCACTGAGCTTTCTTACTGGCTCCGAGCAGCACATTACTTGGGCCTTTGGTCTTCGGCTTCCCTCGAAGCTGGGGATGAGTGGCTGTCTGTGCTTGAACTCTTGTTTGTGTGCTGTCCGCACCCCTCCCAGCCTGCCAGCTTGAATCAGGCCTCTTGCAGCCTGGACAAGGCATTTGGTGTTAAAATGAGAATTAGGATTAATACTAAAAAGGCGCAGCTGGTGAGAAGACGAACTCCTGGTGTGAGACCCTCTGAGCATCGTCTTTGGAAGTGTTGCTGGTGACTCCTGGGTGAGGGCACGACTGCGCGTCTGCTCTTTAGTCTCCACCCTGCCCCCGCTTTTGTGGCCCCTTTGCTTGATGTGGGACCTATGGCCTGGCCCCATCCTGCAGCTCTTGGCTTGATTTCTGGCTGACAAAGTCAAAATTATTGCAAGAAAAACAAGTACTTTGTGATAAACTTTGTATTTTTCTTTAAAAGACATTGACATTTCTATTAGCAAATTTCACTTTTTTTATGAAACATCAAATACTGTAGTTTAAAATAGGCCAGCGGCCTCACCTCTTGAGAACACCCCCTCACCCCCCTGCTTTTGTCCTTTCCCCTTGCAGAGGGGCTGCAGCCCACTGGGGACTCTGGTCACACCTTTTGGGTGCTCGTGCAGCTGTAGCCCCATCTGGGGGTGACGTGGTGTCCTGGGAGTGCTGGTCAGTCATGGACAGTGCAGGAGAATAATCTTCAAGTAGCATGCTTCGTCTACTTTGGAGTAGTTTGTTTCTAAGAACGGTTTTAAACCCACAGCACAACTGAGCAGAAGGTACAGAAATTTTCCAAACAGAGAACGATTTCTTTCAGTCCCCCCGAATGTGCACTTGGTAAGTCAAGCACCTGGACACTGCATCCCCAAGTCATTCCTGCTTGGTGCTGGGCACTCTGGGTTTTGGATGGAGCTATGGTGACCTTTGTCCCGCAGTGCAGTGTCCTGCGGTGCTCTCACGGCCGTGCCTTCCCGGCCACCTCCTTCCCCTCTCATCCTCAGTGGCTGCCCACCTCTACTGTCTCCATGGCGCTGCCTTGCGCAGAGTGTTCCGGTGTTGGAGTCATGCAGGTTGTCCTCGCAGTGCCTCTCTCACTTAGGAATCGCACGTCAGATTCCTGTGTTTTCATGGCTTGATGGCGGATTTCTTTTTATCACTGGATCTAGTCTGTTGACTGGATGTATCAGCTTATTTATCCATTCATCTACTAATGGATGTCTGCTCGTTTCCAAGTCTGGGTAATTAGGAATAAGGCTGCTGTCAACACAAGTGCAATTGTGTGTGTGTGTGTGTGTGTGTGTGTGTGTGTGTGTGTGTACTGTCTTAGTGTCTTTCCTTTTTGCTGGGGGAAAATACTCAACAGCCAGAATTTAGAGGAGAAGTTTATTTTGGCTCAATTTTAGAGGTTTCAGTCTATAATCTGCAGGTTCCACAGCAGGGCCGCATGGCAGAACGGGCAGGGTGGAGGAAAAGCTGCCCACAGGAAGGTGAGAGCCAGGGAAGAGCTGGGAGGAAGCTGGGCTCTCCCGGGCGCTGCCTCTCCCGCCAGACCCCACCTTCTCACTGAAGCCAGCTATAAACCCCAGAATCCGGGCCACCTGTGATCACATGAGGCTTTGGGGGGACTCAGATCTGAAATAACAGAAAATAAGGTTTTCGCTTCACTTGAGTAAGGGAAGAGTGAGTTTGGTTTTGCGGAATGACTGCGGGCTGCTTCCAGAGTGGCTGTAACCCGGCATCGCATTAGCAGGGCTGAGAGCCCCGAGGTGCTCAGCAGGCTTGCCAGGCTCTGCCGCCCGTGCCAAACGCTGGCCGTTCTCGTGGCCTGGTTGTGGCATCTTGTCCATGTTGTCATCTGTGTTTCCCTGATGACAGTGGATACCGAGCCTCTCTTACTTGCAGTCTCTAGGTCTTTGACGAGGTGTCTGTTTGGGTCCTCCATCCTCTTTTGTAATTGGGTTTTTCAGTTTCTTAGGGTTGAGTTTTAAGAGTTCATGGTATGTTTTGGATAGCACTCCTTGAACACATGTGTCTTTTGCAAATAGTTTTTTCTAGTCTGTAGCTTGTCTTCTCATTCTCTTGACAGCCTCTTTTGCAGAGCAAATGATTTTGATTTTCATGAAGCCCAGCTGGTGAATATGGATCTTACCTCTACCCTAAAGATCATCATCATACCCAAGGTTTAGATTTTCTCCCCTGTGCTGTCTCCATGGAATTTGTCTAGCTCTGCGTCTTACGTGGAGGTGTGGTCCACTCTGTGTCAGCGCGTAGGGTGGAAGGCCTGTGTCTGGGTTAGTGTTGGTCCTCATCCTGTTGTGTTAGCCCTGGATGTGGGTAGCACTGTTTAGTTTC